AAAATACATTATAATCAAAACCACAAAGAGCAACTTGAAAGAGCCAAGAGACAGTGACTTGTCACATACAAGAGCACCCTTGTTAGGTTACCAGCAAGTTTCTCAGCAGAAACCTCATAGCTCAGAAGGGATCAGGGTAAAGTGCAAAATGAAAAAACTTCCCACCAAAGTCTGTAACTGCCAAAACTGTCCCTCAGTAACTCAGGAAAAATTAAGACTTGCCCAGATAAACCAAAGCTGAGTAAACTTATCACCATTCGATCTTCTCTACATGAAATGCTAAAGAGAGTCCTTCAGGTTGAAACAAAAGAACACTAAACAACAACACAAAGCCAGACAGAAATGTTAAGCTCTTTGGTAAGGATAAACATATAGACAAGATATAAATTCATATGAATTCACAGTAGTGTTAGAAGATGGGTTCTTCCCTTCCTTCTTTCCTTACTTTTTTTAAAAATACATATACAGGATCTCTCTGTGTTGCACAGGCTGGCCTCAAACACTTGGGCTCAAGCAGGCTTCCAGCCTCAGCCTTCTGAGTAGCTGGAACTACAAGTCTGAAGAGCTGAATCTGAATGGATAAGACCATGGCATCAAGCCTGGGAGATCACTTTTAAGTTTGGTACAGAATCCTTTTAAAGAACGTATAAAAAGTATAAATTTATGTTACTAGATACACAATACAAAAAGAATTTGCACTGGGCATGGTGGCTTGCACCTGTAATCCCAGCACTTGGGAGGCTGAGGCAGGAAGATCACTGTGAGTCCAAGGCCAACCTGAACTTTAGTGAGACCCTGTCTCAAAAAGACAAAAAAAAAAAAGAATTTGTGACATCAATGGAGAGGGAGGGCAGAACATGTAAAGGCATTTCGGTGTGCCATTGGAGATATTCTTCTATCAATTTTAATTAGATTTTAATAACTTTAAGATGTTTTTGTAAAAAATTGTGTATTTGTTCATTCTGATCTTTCTCTTGAACTGCTAGAGTCATGTCATGGCTCTCTCCCAGTAAACAGAATCCCGTCACAAACAGGAGGGACACAGCTGTCATGGGCTCTGATGGCCCCTGGCCACATGAGAAGTTCCCATCCGTGAATGTACAGGGAGTGCCCCGGTGAGTTGGGTACTGGGCTAGGTACCAGTGCCCTGCCATAAATAAGACAGTGTTCCTGCTTTTACATCATTTCAAGAGACAGAGATACCTAAACACATTTTGTCTTGGATTTATTTTCAATGTAATTTTACTTAAATATAGGCAATTTGAAGATGTTAAAAACATGATATAAAGGATTCTTAAGGCTGCAAGGAGGTGCTTTTCTGTACAAAAAAAAAGAGGCAGAACAAAGCTTTCTCAGTTCCCAACTACTCTGGCTTTTTTCAGACAGATACAGGTTTCATCCATCCTCTCATCAGCTCTGAGGAAGGACGAAGCACACACTTTATTTACATTCCGGTCAGAGGTGGGGTGACGTGCGTCAGGTCCCCAGTGGCTTCTGAGAGCAGACCACAAAGGGAGATCTCCGATCCTGGGTGAGACAGCAGACAACCAGGATGTGGTGATTTTGCACACAAACTGTCCATGACACTTCTAAGTGAAAGATGCATGTGACAAGCTGATAATTAGTGACTACTGCTGGTGAACAGATATGATAATGTCCTGAGGTACAAGTGATCATGTGTTGAACTAAAAAATTAGGCCATATAGTTTGAGTTCAAACACATCAGCCACAGTGAAACCAAAATTTCAAAAATTCAAGATTTCTGGTGTCCACAAAACTCAGCGGCATCATGCCGGGCATGGTGGTGCATGCCTGTAATCCTAGCACTAGGGAGGCTGAGGCAGGAAGATTGTTGGGAGTTTGAGACCAGCCTGGGGTACAAGTGAACTCAATGCCAGCCTGAACTGAATATGGAGACCCTGTCTCAGAAAGACAAAAAAAAAAAAACCCTCAACAGTGTCAGCCCAAGGTTACACATCTTTTGTATCTACATTATAGCGGCTTAGGGTAGTGGTGCTTATACTCACAGCTAACCCCAAAGTAATTCTCATGTGCCAGGCAGCTTTCAGTACTCTTCACGACAGTCCTGTGAATTAGGGAACATTAGTATCTCCACTGCTACATAGCGGAAACTTACGCTGCTGCATAGCGTAAACTCAGAGACAAAGTCACCCGCCCCACGTCAGATTGCTGCACACAGCAGGGCTATAATGGAAGAAAAATGGGCAGCTCTGGTCTCACACATGACGGGCCAGGGCTCCACCCCCGAGCTGCTGGCCTGCCCAAGTCCGTGCCTTTCATAATGCAGAAGATACAAGAAGACCTTAAAATGCCGACTGAATCATCTAAAAGTCCACTACGTTGTGCTTAAATATAATACACTATCCAAATATGTCTTATTGGGTTCAAATTGGTTCATTCAATACAATATTTTGGGCCGGAGATATAGCTCAGCAGCATAAGCGCCTGCCTGGCAAACGCAAGGTCCTGAGTTTAATTCCCGGTACCAAAAAAACAAAAACAAAAACAAAACAAACAAACAAACAAAAAAATACAATCTTTCAGTTAATTCCTCACCTCCAACCATTCAGTGCAAATCTGAGTTTTCCTCATACTACCTTCTTCCTAATTCCTGTCACTTTCAGGTATGTGTGTGTGTCTATGGGTTTCAGGGTCTTTCCAGAGAGAAAACATGAAATTAACCAGAAAGAGACATTTATGGCTGTATCTAAAGGTCTGCTCCAAAGCCTCCTGCAGTCACAGGTGAGGCTTTTCAGAGGGGGCTGGATCCAGGGTGTGTGATGCTGGGATCAAGGGTGTGTGATTACTGAACTGGTCCACTGATGGTTTGGCATAGTTCTGCGTAGGATTACGGGTGCCTCTCCCTGGGTGTGAGTGCTACCCTATGGGTAGGTATCCCCGCTGGAAGGTAAGGGACAGAAAGCGTTGCTGCTTGTTACTATTTGCTTGCTGCTTGCTACTTCGTTGCTTCACTGCCTCCTGCCTGCCATGAACTATTCTCTTCTGCAATTCCCCTCTGCCTTAGAACCGGCAACTAAGGACCAAAACCTCTACAAACTGTGAGCTGAATAAACCTTTCCTCCTGTAACTTTGGGTGTTCTGTATTTGGCCTCAGCAATGAGAAAAGTAAATAAGACAGAGACTGACATTTTTCTTTTTGCAAGACAAAAAAAAGTGAGGTTCTAGTTGCTGCTCTAAAAGTACCACATAATAATAATAAATGACTGGGGCTGGGGATTTAGCTCAACAGCACAGCGCCTGCCTGGCAAGTGCAAGGTTGTCAGTTTGATTCCTGGTACCGGAGGAAAAACAAACAAACAAACAAAATAATAATAATAAATGACATTTATAATGAATGAAAATAAATGACATAATAAATGAAATCAATGACATTTCACTGAAAAATGGAAACTGGAGATTTAGAAAACTGCAATCTACCGGTTTTTTTTTGTTTGTTTTTTGTCTTTTTTTGAGATAGGGTCTCGCTATGCAGTTCAGACTGGCTCACTTTGTAGCCCAGGCTAGCCTCAGACTGACAACGATCCTCCTGCCTGAGCCTCCTGAGTGTTTGGATTACAGGTGTGTACCACCACACCTGGCTACTACCATTTTTCTTAACCAAATAAATCTTTTTCATAGTTTATCCTTTTTAAGAAAATTTTTCTCATGTTCTTTTCAATCCCTCCTTGGGATCTCAAAGATGCAAATTCAAAATGTTTCTTCAAAATACTGCCTCCGGCCAAGTGTGGTGGTGCACATCTGTAATCCCAGTACTTGGGAGGCTGAGGCAGGAGGATCACCACAAACTCAAGGCCAGTCTGGGCCAAATAGTGAAGACCAGCCTGAATTACAGGGCAAGATCTTGTCTCAAACAAACAAACAAACAAACAACCTCCAACAAGGCGAGAAGCTTTCTCTTCCCTTAGTACCCTTTCACAAAAATCAAAACAAACAGCAGAAATGACAGAATTGTCATGTACTCACAGTTCTTCACGTAGGGTGCATGTGGACCAGGTCTGGCGGGGACCGGGAGACGTCAGCGCTGTCCAGGAAGACCCACACCCACGTGGGACGGGGCAGTGTGAGGGGCAGGCACCTCCACCCCTGCCTGACACAGGAAAGGAAGCAAAGACTCCAGTGCGACAAGCCTGTCACTTCGGCTGCAGAGGTCTTCTCAAACCAGCTTTCCTTGCTCGTAGGGACATCTGAATTTCCTCAGATGCGTTTTCTTGACGTTTCAGTTTAGTCAGGCGCTTCATTTCATACTCCCTCTCGCTTTTGATGGCTAAAAAAATAAAATCCATGGAGCAATCTGACCGGCACTTTCCACCAGGCTTAGTGCATTCGAAATTGGATCACACACAGCCGGGCGTGGTGGCACACGCCTGTAATCCCAAAGCTTGGGAGACTGAGGCAGGAGGACTGCTTCAGGTTTGAGGCCGGCACGGGCTACATAATGAGTTCAAGGCCCAGCCTGGACTGTATAGTGAGACCCCGTCTCTCAAAAAAAAACCAAAAAACCCTGAACTACACACAGAAAAACTGTTAAGCAACCAAGATGCTAAGGCTACAGAGAGTGACGACAGATTACCTGGGACGCAGAGCACTTACCTTCCTTGGAAGGCAGTAGTGTTTCCTTTGTTTCGCATTTCGAGAGCTTTATGGGACTCCCATAGGCAATGTCTCCCAAGAAGGGCAATTTGGAGTTGACTATGTTTGAGTACCAGGTCCTCGTAAGTAGTGCAAGATCCCAAGGTTCCCGTCTGGGGCAAAAAAGCAGGCATTCATTCAGCAAACACTGACTGCACACACCATGAGACACGGAAGACGTCGTGATCATCCCGGTCCTCTTTGCCGAGGCCACTGGTTCGCAGGGGAGGGACGCAGGACTTCCCGGGGGGCAGCTCCGGCAGGAGAAGCAGCCCAAGCCAGGGACCGGATGTCCTGACACCAGGGACCGTGGTCACAAGGCAGCATCCCTCTGCCGCGTAAGAGGATGCAGAGGAGAACTGCCGTGGCTCTGCAGGGTGACCTGGGGTTAGGGAAGGGAAGGGATGGAACTCCAACTGCAGCCTCAAAAACAATCACTGTGGACAGTAAGCCACGAGTTCGAGGCCAGCCTGGGCTGCACAGGGAGGTCAAGGCCAGCCTGAACTACATAGCGAGACCCTGTCTCAAAAAACAAGCGAACGTGAAGGCCAAGGCGAGGAGTTAGCTTGGCAAATGAACCTTGAAGAGCGCTGCTGCCATTCTATTATTTTAGCCTCCTGAAAAGCCTGATCCTGAGCCGTGTGTGGGCAGAACGACAGGAAAGCCTTGGGTTCACAGATAGCTCTGCGGAACCAAACCCAGAGTCGAGCTTCAAACCATTCTCAGAATCAGGACCGTCTGGGTATCAAACTTGCATTCAGAAGGATATTCCCCATGGCAGAGTTGCCTAAGCACACGACAGGCTGACCCGACGGAGCTCCACTTGAGGGCGCTCGCTCTGACTTTGCCGTGGCTCTGCGTTAGAAGCCTGCAGGAAGCCCCGTCTCTAAGAATAGTGTGATGAAGGTGTTCGCGGGAATCACCGCGCGGGTCACTATGTCACAGCTGCGGCAGAGGAGCTCACAAAACAGCTCCAAACAAAATGTGCCGTGCCACCGAGCGGGTGCTCCCAAAGGTGCCCTGCACCCCAGCCCCGGGCACGCCGCTGGCACCCGCCTTCACCGGGCCCCAGTGCAGAGAGGGCGCCAACAGGGGGGCCTGGAGACGGGGGCAGAGGGACCAGCTCAGGCCAGGCCGGAGCCCGGTCTCCCCAGCTGCAAAAGCTGCTCGCCCAGGTGCTGCCTGCCCAGCGGGGTGCAAAGTGACGCCTGCACCCCAGGACCCGCGCTCTGCATTGACCCAGGCGTCTGCAGTGCGGGGGGACGGGCAGAGCAGATTTCAGGGATGGGCAGGAGCGGAAGCTGTTGTTTTGGGAGAAGCTTCAGGGCTCGAGCCTGGCGCTCGGTGACAGTGACCTGGTTGCGCCTTCCTGCTGACCCGGTTTCTCCTGTGGAAGTGTGATTCTGGTGCAGAGACCAACGGGCTGATCATAGGCGCCTGTAAAAGCCGTGTCTTTTGGAAGGGAGACCCGAGGCGCTGGACCCCTGAGGGCGGCTGGCACAGCACGGAGTTTCACGGGACGCGAGGTGCCAGCGCCGTGCCCAGCCCCCCGCCGCCGCCACCGCCCACTCCGGAGCGGCCGCACTTACATGCTATAGCAGCTGCCACGCAGGGCGCTCTGCACCGTGTTCTTCCTGGGCAGCCCGTAGGCCATGCCCAGCCCCCGCCGATGTCCTGGCACAGGGCCTGAGGCGATGTCACCCTGCAAGGACCGCGACACCGCAGTGGCCGGCTTTCCCCTAAATGTGTTCACAGCCTAAGGACAGCGGATCCAGAGAAAGTGCTCGTGAACCCCAGAGGCCAAGCCCGAATGCCACCGTCCCTGTCTTTGGCACGAAGTCGTTGCCGGTTCTCCCCACCCTAAAAAGAGCAGGGCGGCGGACCTGCTCCTGCTGGGACAGGTTCCCGCTGTGCAGGACCAAGCCATCGCCTCTGCGGGGACAGCAACCTCCCGCAGCACAGAACTCTACCCCAAGCAATCCCGACCTGCTTCCCTCATCCAAAACCTGGCCTAAGAGTGGCCACGCCAGGCGTGGTGGTGCTCGCCTGTGGTCCCAGACTCCGGAGGCTGAGTCAGGAGGATCGCCAAGACCTCGAGGCCAGCGTGGGCCATGTACAATCAAACACAAAGGCGGCCCCGTCTTGGCCCCACCCCTGCGTCCCGAGTCCGACTCTGAGTCCGGCGAGGCAGTCCCACTCTGGCCCCGCGGTCCCTCCAGCCCCCAAGCCCGCCGCGCCCTCCGCGGGCTCCTACCGGGTCTGGGGAGGATTAGCAAATCAACCGCGAGCCAGCGCAGAGCGCGCGCCAGGAGCCCGGGACCGCGCACGGGGCCGCGCCGGGCGACCCCGCTCGTCCCCGCCCGCGTCCCCGGGAGGGTGCGCGCGTCACCGGGCCCAACAAAGGGCTTTGTGCTGCTACAGCTCCTCGCGTCCTGGTGTCCCCAAGCGACCGGGGAAGGAGCTGGGGGTGCTGTTTGCATGGTGACCCGAGCCCCTTGCGTTTCTCTCCAGTGGGTGCGGTTTCCCACGCTGAGTCCCGGCCCTGGGTGACAGCCACATCTGACTCCCGGGGCCTGGCCTAGGCCCTGGAGTTGGGGAACTGGCTTGGAGGTCTGTTTACCACTCCTGACCGCGATGTGCCGCCCATCACGCCCTAAGCCTCAGCCTCTGCCTCTGCACACCCAGGTCACAGCCTGCGGCTAGGGGTGAGGATCCAAGAGCACGTCGCCGCCCATGGCAGGGGTCTGAATCTCTCCTACTTCAAATTGTGCGTGTCAGGCGTTTTGTACCAGCAGCAAGACAAGTGACCAGGACGCCCTGCCTGTGTGTGAGTCTGGTTTCGGCGTAAGTACACTTCCAGGGTCTCAAAAGCAGGAAGAGGCTGAGGGTAGAACCCTTGCCTGACATGCACGAGGCCTTGCACTGGGGCCCCTGGAACTGCCATAGAAAACATAAAAATGGTGAACGCTTGAAAGCCGCTGCCTCCATCTTTTCACTTTGGAGACGGTGAGAGCGCAGGGGAGCTGCTGAGGGCAGAGGGTGGGCCCGAGGTGGAAGGCCTCCCAGTGTGCTGAGGAGGACAGTGAGCCCCACACAGGTGAGGGGATGGTCCAGGCCACACGGGGGGCAACAGGGCAGCTTGCGATTTCTCCGTGCAGGGCTGGCGTCCTGTGTGTGTGCCAACTCCTGTGACTGGCTGCAGTTATTTTCCCTGTGACTTGCTTCGTGCAAATATGGTGGAAGTTTCTGGGTTTAGCTTCCGAGATGAGGTCATAGAAGGTATCCTGGCCTCTCTTCTGCAGCCTTTCCTGGCCAGTGGCCACCCTAGAGGACGCCTGAGTTCTTCTGTGGGGAAAATTGTAGGCGCAGGGAGAAAGAGCTTTTGTCACTGTCTTGGTTACTTTTCTTGTGGCTAAGATGAAATGCCTGCCACACAAAATTAAAAGAGGAAAGGTGTCTTTCAGCTCACAGTTGGTAGAAGTTTTGGTCTGTTGTCAGCTGGCTCCAAGGCAGGGCGGCATGGCAGAGGGGTACGGCAGGGAGAAACAGATCATGGTATGGCAGGCAGAAGGCAGCAAGCAGCAGCAGCAGCAGCAAGCCTCCCTTTCCCTTTTACCCCATCCAGGCTATAAGCTTTTTGGATTGTGCCACCCACCCTCAGGATGGGGCCTCCCATTATCCACCCCTAGAACTCTAATTAACCAATCAGTGAAAAAAAAAATTAAATCAAAATAAACCAATCAGTGGACTAATTTATTATCACACACCCTTAATCCCAGTGTCACACACCCCAATCCAGTCACCTCTGAAAAGCCCCACCCAGGAGGGCAGGAGGCTGTAGGGGACACCCGGACACAACCATCACAGCCACCAACCATGAGAGAGAATCCTGCAAACAGATCCCAGGCCCCTGTGGCCTGAAGGTAACCGCAGTACCAGGAAGCTTCAGAGCCCCCGGGACGGGACCACCCAGCACTAGAAAACAGAAGACAGTAGGTGCTTACTGCCTGATGCCTCCTGCGTTGGGGATAACAGTCACATCAAGGGTCACCTTGAATATACCACTAAGTGTCTGGCTGTAAAAGGAGTGACATAGTATAAATGGCCCTGTTTCCATAATTGAGATCAGTACTAAGGTAAAGATAAACGGTAAAATGCACTTTTACAGGTACTTGTGCAGCTAATGGTGCTGATTCCTCCAGGACCACTTAGCACCTTAAACCTTGTCCGCACAAACGGATATGGTATCCAGTGTGGAGAAGGACATTCTGTAGTTTACCTTTCAGTGTATTACCTATGTGGGACTTCGAGCCTGACCAAGCCGTATGATTGTTTGATTCTGGAGGAAGTGTAGCAAAAGCATTGGTGCAAAAGGAAATAAAGCAGGACCTTAGTCCCTGTGAAAAGTCGCTAAAACAACACTAGGTGCTTTGCTGAGATATGTCTGAAAAAATGATAACATGATGGCTAGCTAAGTCCAAGTCCAGCTCCTGTGATAATTAAGCTGTATTGTCCTCGCTAATCCTGTTAATGACTCCTCCCATTTCCCCTGGTCCTGCTTTTTGTGTGAATCCCAATAAAAGGTTAGAGAATATTATAATCCAGGCTTTAGTTCTAGAGGCTGTAGCCCCCGATCCCATAACTTTGTTTCTCTTGGTTTTCTTTTCATCCGCTGCACCTCGTTCTCCGGACCTGTCACCCCACACAGAAACAACATATAACCGACAATCCAGCACTCCCCCACAAGTATGCGCAAACAGGAATACCATTTACCTTTCCACAAGGTGGAAAGACGTCCAACAAAGGTCTAGTCTCTCCCCATAATGACTACTTCAGTATTTTCTTTTGAAAAATCAAATTCTTAGCTATTGTGGAGGATACACCTGGAAACCCAGCACCCGGGAGGCTGAGGCAGGAGGATCTTCATGAGTTCCAGATCAGCCTGAGCTACATAGTGAATTCAAGGTCAGCTTGGACTACATAGTGAGATCCTGTCTCTAAAAACCAGGCACAGGGCCGGGCGAGATGGCGCACGCCTGTAATCCCAGCAGTGGGGAGGCTGAGGCAGGAGGATCACTATGAGTTCGAGACCAGCCTGGGCTACAAAGTGAGCTCAAGGCTAACCTGAACTGCACAACGAAACCCTGTCTCAAAAAGACAAAAAATAAATAAATAAATAAATAAATAAGTAAATAAAAGCCAGGCACAATGGTGCAATTCTGAGAGGCTGAAGCAGTTCAAATTCAGTCTTTGCAACTTAGCAATTTATTCACACCTTGACCCAAAATAAAAAATCAAAAGGGTTACCGGGAGCCGGGCATGGTAGCTCACACCTGTAATCCCAGCACTCGGGAGGCTGAGGCAGGAGGATTACTGTGAGTTCCATCCCAGCCTGGGCTACATAGTGAGTTCAAGACCAGCCTGAATTACAGAGACTCTGTCTCAAATCCCTTCCCCCTCCAAAATGAAAGGAGTTAGAGATATAGCTCAGTGTGAAGAGGCCCTGGCTTCAATCCCAGTATTGCAATAAATACATAAAATAAAAAGGGCGGGAGATGCAGCTTAGTAGTAGAATAACTGCCAGGGGTTCAATCCCCAATACTTAAGATAAAAAAAAATCACCTCTGTCTCCACCTGCACCTTCATCTCACTCCTCCTTCTGTGGCGCTCCCCTGCTTCGCTTGGTGTCCACACGTCTACTACTAAGTTAAATCTTCCTTCTTTCCGGCATTCCTGAAAGTTGTACACCACTTTAACTGCTCACGAGAACGTTTCTGCCACCTAGTGGTAACACTGAGGTACTGAAATAAAAAGCAAAAGCGTTGGGATTATCTTCCCTAACATAGAACACAAGATAATAATGATGTGACGCCTTTATGTTTTGGGTACCGGTCCTGCCTAGTGCGTGTCCCTGTCTCTCCGATGCAGTGTCTGTCACACTGTACGTGCTACAAGTAATGTCAGTGATGGGTTTGCAGAGAGAACGAGACAGGCACCTTAAAGCCTGAATCCCTTTCAGCATCATGGGATTTGAACCCAGGATGACCTGATTATAACTTTTGTCTTCCCTCCAACACACTAGGTATGCATCTCCCGGGTGATAATTAGCA